CCAGTCCCCAGGTCTGAGGCAGGACTAAGTATTATCTAGACCCTCCCTGACAGGTGTTTATCTAACCTGTTCTTAAAAACCAACAATGATGGAGATTCCACAACCTCCTCAAGTAATTTGTTCCAGTGTTTAACCACCCTGACAGTTAGGAAGTTTTTCCTAATGAATAACCTAAATCTCACTTGCTTCAGTTTAAACCCATTATTTCTTATCCTGTCATCCAGGGATAATAGCACTGCCCTACATCACATCTTGAATAGGAGTCACCCCATCTCAAAAAAGATATATAGAATTGGAAAAGGTACAGAAAAGAGCAACAAAAATTATTAGGGATATTGAACAGCTTCCATATGAGGAGAGATTAATAAGACTGGGACTTTTCACCTTGGAAAAGAGACGACTGGGGGGGGGGGGAGAATATGATCGAGGTTTATAAAATCATGACTGGTGTGGAGAAAGTAAATAAGGAAGTGTTATTTACTCCTTCTCATAACACGAGAACTAAGCGTCACCAAGTGAAATTAATAGGCATCAGGTTTCAAACAAACAAAAGGAAGTATTTCTTCATACAACGGACAGTCAACCTGTGGAACTCTTTGCCAGAGGATGTTGTGAAGATCATAACAGGGTTCAAAAAAGAACTGAATAAGTTCATGGAGGATAGGTCCATCAGTGGCTATTAGCCAGGATAGGCAGGGATGCAAAACCATGCTATGAAGCATCCCTAGCCTCTGTTTGCCAGAAGCAGGGAATGGGCGACAGACGGGATGGGTCACTTGATGACTGACTGTTCTGTTCAGTCCCTCTGAAGCACCTGGCTCTGGCCATTGTCAGAAGACTGGGCTAGATGGACCATTGGTTTGACCAAGTATGGCCGTTCTTATGCTGTTATGAGGGTAAATTCATTAAAAGATTAGGGATGCCCAGATATTATGTTAATAGGGTCAAATAAGTACCTAAGGGATCGATTTATCTTTCTTAAGGTCCAACAACCCTGCTGAAGGTCTGGTTGGGGCTATAGAAGGGTTAGGCCTTGCTAGCACTGACACAAATTAGTCACATTTACCGCAGTACTGGTTGCAATTTAAGGTGGTGATCCTGGTCTACAAGCCTTACCCTGTTCCAATTTTGGTTAGTTTAGCCACTGCCATTCCCTGTTCCCAATGGGGTGTTAGCACTAAGCGTCCATGGAGTCAGGCGCTGGGGATCTGGAGGCGGAGCACTCACCTCTGGAAATCACTTCCCCTATTAGCCTGAGAAAAACCAAATGTGGTGAGTGACCTTCAGGGCATGGAACATTTATTTATTCTGGTAGCACCCTCAGTATGCTGAGTGCTGTCCCCATAGCTAGGGCAGGGCCTATCTAAGATGACAAATGACACCCGAAGGCTGGAGGAGAGGAATGCAATCAAAAATATGTATGAATTTGATATACATTTTAAAATGAAACACCCAGCAACTATACCAACTTCCCCTCCACCCATTCAGCATTGATTGGTCAGTTCCTTGTACGCATCACAGAAGTATATCTTGAGAATGAACTGGAAGGAGGTGAAGGTAGCGGCCTTCTGAATCAGTTCAGGGAAGGCATTCCATGTGTAGGGGGAAGCATAAAGAAAGCATGACGTGGACATGCGGGAAGACCCAGTTGATATCACTGGCATAGCAGAGGGATGGGGGGTTCAAGAAGAAAGGAGGATAAATCTGATGGCTCAGAGTTGCTGGGGCCTTGAAGGAGAAGATGAGAAGTTTGAACTTAACGGGGCAGACGAGAGAAATCAGTACAGGGATTCAAAGAAGGGGTAAGACACTCTGCATGATGGACAAGCCAGAATATGAAGTTGGCTGCTGTATTTTAAATAGACGGTAGAGGGCATCAAGGAGGTGGACGGGTGGGGAAGTTACAATAAATCAACACAGGAAACAGCGACAACCTAAATGAGAGTTTCCCTGAGGCTACATCTACACTTGGAGCTAGGGGTGGGATTCCCAGCTCACGTAGACATACTCGCCCTAGCTCTCATCAAGCTAGTGCACTAAGAATAGGAGGGTAGCTGCAATCACACGGGAAGCAGCAAGCAGCGGCATGGACTAGCTGCCCCAGGTTGTGCACTCATAGGATCTAGGCAGGTTTGTACTTGGTTGACTAGCCCAGGCCACCACTCACTGCTGTCCATGCTACCATGACTACACTACTATTTTTAGAGCACTAGTTTGAAGAGAGCTAGCATGAGTATATTTACAGGAGCTGAGAATCACCCTCCACCTGCTCCAAGAGCAGACATGGACGGAGAGAGGGCAACTGCATCTTTCGAAAATAGCTCTTCAGGGCAGATATTGTCTCCATTGTGTTTGTGTGGCATTCAGCAAACGGGGTAGAGATCCCAACTAAAGCCTTTGGACTTACCAGACTATGGACATTTACTAACCGTAGTAAGGGCTGGAATGAGTGGAGGGTGGGAAATGAGTAGTTGCTACTACGGAAACTCTGAATGAATGTTACATCCAGAGGTTTGACAATGGGATCGTTTTTAGGAATAAACTCCCATTTATATCCTCTGTAGGTAGTAAGTAATAAATAAATAAAAGGGTTTATATAGCCTGCAGGCTGCAGCCACAAGATGGCGGTATAACCGGAACACGGCTCAAATTCCCAGGAAAGCGCAGCGGTGCTCTCATGCACTGTAAGAGGACTAATGCAGCATACTGTACAGGCAACCCAACACTACTATACTCTACTCAGTACTTCTATAGTGCATTCCACCAGAGGATCTCCAAGGGTTTTTACAAAGCTCAGGTCTCTCTCCATTCTACAAACGGAGAAACACAGGGTAAGTGATTTCCCCACGGTACCACATCAATTCGGTGGCACAGCCAGGAAGGTCTAACACCCAGCCCCGGGTCTAACCACTAGGCCAGGCCATGGCACTGTTATGTACACTGGGAGAAAGGAAAACCCTAGTTACAAGCACAAATTTCTCTGCCAATTATTTGCAAATGGCAAGAGTGCAATTTCAGGCAGACATGTGGCTGGGGAGTTTATTTACATTTCAATAATATACATTTTAAAGGGGAAAAAAGAGGTAGGTAGGCATCTAAACTGCAAATCAATAACAGCACAAAACAGGGGTGCAAAGAAGAAGGTGCAATGCAGCTGCCTGACCGGAGAGCACAGTTTTTGTGCCCACATACCAGGAAACTTGGCTTTGTATTTTTATTCAACTTGAAAATCCCCTTTTTTAAAAGAGAAAGTCACCCCTGCTGCAAAACCCCTGAGTCGGCACAAACAGATCAGCCCGGCAATCTGTATTCGCAGTGAGGTACAGAAAAGGGATTAAAAAAGTCACTTGCCTTGGAAATGGGTCTGGTGGAGAGATTATGTTCCATTTTGTGAAATATGGTGCATTTCTAAGTTTAGAAAATTGCTTTTCCTAAGTGTTTTTAGGAGACAGCACTAAGTTACACCTACGGGTCGGCACAGAGGTATCCCTGCAGTCAGAGGCAGTGACACCCCTTCCTCCAATACATAATTGCTTTATGAATGAATGACATTGCCCTCTTGCACATGGCCCATTAATACTTTAGCTAGAAAAGCTATCCTCTAGTACAGCTGTCCCCAAAGGGTGGGGAGAGTCCTCCCTTAAGAGGGCACAGAGGAACATTCGGGGTGGGGCAGGCTGCAGGCCAGCCCCCACAGGGGATTGGGGAGGGAGCAGGCACCACCCAGCCCCCGACCCCGCTCCCAGCCCGGGGTGGCATGGACACATTCTATTACTGATAAGGGGGGCAGGGAGGATGCCGGAGGAAAAGTTTGGGCACCACTGCTCTAGATCAAGCTGCCCACCACCCAGAGCTCTAGTCCCAGTTCGTCCAGGGAAGGGGTGGGTTACACAGTATCTGTTGCTTACGGCACAAATTCATTACAGCTTTCCCCTGGCTGAGGGTATTTCTCTACCCATCAGTCTAT